CTATTTCATTTCTGATTTTGTTTATTTGGGTCCTCTCTCTTTGTTTCTTGGTGAGCCTGGCTAGAGGTGTATCAATCTTGTTTATCCTTTCAAAGAACCAGCTCTTGGTTTTGTTGATCTTTTGTATTGTTTTTTTGGTCTCTATGTCGTTTATCTCCGCTCTGATCTTTGTTATTTCCTTCCTTCTGCTTACAGTGGGCTTTTTTTGTTGCTCTCTTTCTAATTCTTTGAGTTGTAGAGTTAGGTCATTTATTCTCATTGTTTCTTGTTTCTTGCAGTAGGCTTGTAGAGCTATGAACTTCCCTCTCAAGACTGCTTTTGCTGTGTCCCATAGGTTTTGGATTGTTGTGTTTTCATTGTCATTTGTTGCCATGATGTTTTTTATTTCTTCTTTGATCTCACTGGTGACCCAGTCGTTGTTTAATAGCATGCTATTTAGTCTCCATGTGTTTGATTTTTTTGGATTGTTTTTGTTGTAGTTGATTTCCAGTTTTATGCCTTTGTGATCTGAGAAGATACTTGATATGATTTCAATTTTCTTGAATTTGAAGAGACTTTGTCTGTGACCCAATATATGGTCTATCTTTGAAGATGACAAATGTGCACCCGAGGAGAATGTATATTCTGTGACTTTGGGGTGAAATGTTCTGAAGATGTCAATTAATTCCATCTGATCTAGTGAGTCATTTAGGATTGATGTTTCTTTGCTGAGTTTCTGTTTAGAGGATTTGTCCAGTGGAGATAATGGGGTGTTAAGATCCCCTACTATGATTGTATTGCTGTCAATCTCTCCCTTGATCTTCTCCAGAAGATTTCTTACGTATTTGGGTGCTCCTATATTGGGTGCATATATATTTACCAGAGTTATTTCTTCTTGTTGGACTGCTCCCTTTAGTATTATGAAGTGGCCTTCTTGATCTCTTTTTATGTCCTTCACTTTGAGATCTAATTTGTCAGATATAAGTATTGCTACCCCGGCTTTTTTTTCACTTCCATTGGCCTGAAAAACCTTTTTCCATCCCTTCACCATCAGTCTGTGTGTGTCTTTTTTTGTGAGGTGGGTTTCCTGTAGACAGCAGACATATGGGTCATGTTTTCTTATCCACTCATTTACCCTATGCCTTTTGACTGGGGAATTTAATCCATTTACATTTAAAGTTATTATTGATAGAAACTTGTTAGTCGCCATTTTTGTTCTTTACCGCTGTGTTCCTTCTTTGTTTCCTGTTTTTTCTATTTACAGCAGACCCTGTAGCATTTCTTGCATTGCTGGTTTGGTTGTAATAAACTCCCGTAGACCGTTTTTGTCTGTGAAGCTCCTGATTTGACCCTCAATTTTGATTGATAGCCTCGCTGGGTATAGTATTCTTGGATTCAGACCCTTCCTTTGCATGACTTTGTATATTTCATTCCATTCCCTTCTTGCCTGATGTGTTTCTGTTGAGAAATCGGTTGCTAGTCTGATGGGGGATCCTTTGTAGGTAACTTTCTGTCTCTCTCTGGCTGCTTTTAAGATTCTTGCTTTGTCGTTGGTGTTTGCCAATTTAATTATTATGTGCCTTGGTGTCGGTCTTTTCGGGTTCATTTTGTTTGGGACTCTGTGAGCTTCTTGGATTTGTGTGAGTTTTTTCCTCCCTATATCAGGGAAATTTTCTGTTACTATTTTTTCAAACAGGTTTTCTATTCCTTGCTCAGTTTCCTCTCCTTCTGGCACCCCTATTATTCGGATGTTGTTTCGTTTAGCATTGTCCCAGAGTTCTCTTAGGCTCTCCTCCTGCTTTTTAATTTTTTTTTCTAGAAGCTGTTCTGTTTGGGTATTTTTTTCTACCTTGTCTTCTAGCTCGCTGATGCGGTCCTCTGCTTCTTCTAGTCTACTGTTGATGCTTTCTATTGAGTTCTTTATGGCAGTGATGTCGTTTTTCATTTCTTCTTGGTTTCTCTTCATTTCCTCTTGGTTCTTCTTCATTTCCTCTTGGTTCCTACACATATTGTTGAATTGGTCTTCCATTTTTTTCATCCACCTTATGACCATTACTCTGAATTCTTTCTCTGACAGGTTGCTTGCCTCCATTGCCTCCATTTCGTTTACTTCCTTTTCTGATGATGCCTGTTTTTCTCTCATATTTGGGTTGGTTCTTTGTTTCACCATGATTTCTCTTCTCAAGGTGTTTGGTTATGTAGTTCTCTCTCTGCTGCGCTGATTCAAAGGCACAAAATACAACACAACAAGGCACAACGTACAAGGCAACAAACTAAATGCATTCACGATATTAATAACCCCAAATAAAGGTGACCCCCCGAGCGAAGAGAATTAGGGGATATAGAAGAGAAAAGAGAAAAAGATTAAAGAGAAAAATAAAAAACAAAAAGGAGTGCCGAAATGAGATTGGGAAAAGGGAGAGAAGAAAAAAAACAAAAATACAAAAAAAAAAAAAGTAAGAGAATGAAATAGAGGTGGGGAAGAGGCTATTTGTATGGGGAGAGCGAGGGATTGGAAATTAGATATATAAGTAGGGTGAAATTTAGACAGTGGTTAGAAAGAAGGAATAGGTAAAATCCAAAGCAGGAATAGGGTACGAGAAACAGGACAACAAAAGTGGAAAAGTGAGGAAGAGAGTTTTGGCTTAAGGGTAAATGTGAGCTAGAGAGACATGATGCTAAAGGAATGATGAAAATAGTGTGTATAACACTAATCCCAAAATAAAATAAAGAAAAATTAAAAAAATAATAAAAAATAAAATGACACTTGAAAAAATGGTAAAAGGATAGCAATAATACTGGTTAAAAAAATGTAGTAATTAAAAAGGTAAAATCAAGTGATGAAAAAAATAAAAAATAAAAAATAAAAATAAAATAAAATAGGTTCTTAATGAAATGGTGAAAAAAGAATTTAAAAAAAAAATAAATATATATATATATAAAAATATTCGGAAGTGAAGGTGCTTCAGATCTTCCACTCTTCTTTTTGGCACGCCTCAGTCCTGCCAGGCATTCAGGGGAGTGTTGAACTTCCCTGCGATACACTGTCCCTCCGTGCAGTAAACCACAGACCTGATTTCAAGGCAGCTTGTATTTGTTTACCAGACTGCCTTTATTTGTGATCGCAGAAGAGACAGTTCGTGGCTCTGCCTCTGGGTGGCAGTGTGTCTGGATTGACCTCCGAGGCTATAAGTCCTCTCTATCAGTAGGGTTTTTTTTTTTTTTTTTTTTTTTTCCTCTATGGTATTGGGAACTGATTCAGGAAAGACCACTGCCCAGAGCTGGTTCCTTGACACTGCCTGCTGTTTCCCAGGCTCCCCAAAAAGAACTTTCCCCTACAGGCTCTGTGAATGACCCCAACTGGGGAATCCCATGCACTGGGTTTAATAATCAAATGCACGGATCTAAGGGGAACTGTAACAAGAGCCTGATAGTTGTGCGAATTCGCAAGCCTCCACCTTCCAGGTCTGCGCACAGTCTCCGCGCGCAGTCTCCGCGCGCTCACTCACCCCTGGCACCAAGCAGCCAGCAGATTGGCAAAGTCCAAGGCTGCTCCCTTACATCCAGTCCAGCTATGGGCTCATTTTTCGCGTTCCCTTCTGCCAGCAGCCCTGTGGGGCCCCTTCCCCACTCGTGGGTCACGCTGGTCCCAACGGCTGCAGACTCTGTGGGGCGCAGATTCCGCCCCGCGCGCGCGCGCGAGCTTGGTCCTCCCTCCAACCCGAACTTCAAACCGCACCTTTAGGGGATGTCCAACCTTTCCGTGAGAAGAAGCAGTGCTCGTCCGAGTTCAGGCAGTGACGCTGCTTGAGATCCCTTGTTCCCAGGTTAGTAGCTGGTCTCTGGATGCCGGCAACAACCACCCAAGATGGCGCAGTCTCCGCTGCTTAGCTGGCGCACCACGAGAGGCTTCAGCCGCAGTCTCCAACCGTCCTTTTTTTTCCTGGGGGTTCTCGGTCTTTCCTAGCTGCAGACAGTCTCTCAGCTGAAAATCCTCTGCCTATTTGGGCTGCATGTTACCCGTTTCAGCTGCTCACCCTTATCTGCTCCAGGACAAGGCACAGGACACGTCCGTTTATACCGCCGCCATTTTTCCACCCGGTATTTAACTTCTTGCTGACATGGTTTATCCTGCCTTTGATCATTATTTTTAATTGCTATTTATTACACATATGCTTCCCCCTTGTGGGCAAGATATGGAAGGAATTAAGAGGTGGCATGATCCAAGATTTGGAAACATTCAAGACACAGCCCGGAAGTTGTCTCTCAGGAATCTACCTGTTGTCCGCATCTTTATCATCAGAAGTTTTGGTCTCTATACCCGCTAATGTGATACCTCCTGCTATTTAAAATACCCAACACAGGTATCAAAGTAAAGGCAAACCAAAGCCTAATCTAAAATCTATCACTTACGGTAAGATAATCACAATGTATAATACGTACCTATGACTATTTTGCACATTTTGTATCATTATCCAGAAAAGTGTGAAGTTCTTGAAGCAAGTATTTTCCTTTTAGTTACTATTTTCTCTGTAGGCTCTAGCCAAAAGTTTTGTATGTACAGTAGAATTCAATCAATGATCATTGAATAAATTACATTATTTAGTATAAATTTGTCAAGGAATAGGTGGGGAGAAGCAAGTTATTTATACAAGTTGGTTGCTTTAATCAAATCAAAGCTCGATGAGTCTTGTGGAAGCAGGCAGGCACTGGTGGAAGTTTCTTTGGGAAAGGCAGGAGAGGTGAGAAAAACAGCTTTCTCTTTGCAGCTCACTGAGGGAGCACGGCCACCCTCCACTCCTTCCCCGGGAAACTGAGAGGAACAGTCACCATGCAGAGGTTAGATCTTGTCCTTCATTTCAGCCTCAGTCCTCCGAAGGACTGGTGAGCAGAAGGGGGAAGGTGGCTTGGGTACAGGGATCAAAGCTATTTCAGATTCTCTCCCCGACTCCCTCTCCGCCCCTCCAGCCCTGACCTGAGTTGTGAGAACACATCACCCATCGCTAACAGCTGGGACTTACTTGGCAGCAGCATCTTTCCTCAGCTGCTCATGCTTCATGAGGAGGTTCTTGCGGTCTCGGAAAGCTTTCCTGACCTTGTAGCCTTTGTACACAGCTTGGATTTTGAAGGCAGCGATGTCCTGGATGGCTGCGATGGACAGGGCGCCATGCTCCAACATGAACTGGATCACTTCGTGGCGCTCACCAAGCAAAGCATAATCGAGGGGAGTGTACCTGAGGCAGGGAGACTTTTTAGTGTCGGAATGTAATTCGAGGTACAGCTAACTGGCAATACAAGCAGGGAAAGGAACATGTGGAGACATGGAACATTCCTCAGGCAAAGCAGCTCCTTCTGTTCTCTGAGGGGCACAAGCAAGGGGGAAGCTGGGTCAGGTGTTCTGTGCTACTGACCACATCAATTCCTGAGCTTTCCTCACTGGCTCACAAACTGGGGGCTGTGAGAACATGATCCCTTTCCTCTTTCCCATGTTCCAAATAATTCCTCATTCCTATCTGAAAAGGGACTGCAAATAATATTCTGTGAGATTCATAATTTGAGTGTTAATGAAATACAAAATAGCTCTGGCCAGGGTGGCTCAGTTGGTTGATCATCGTCCTATGTACCCAGAAGTCGCCAGTTTATTTCCAGGTCAGGGCACATGACTGGGTTGCAGGCTAGATCCCCAGTAGGGAGCATGCAGGCAGCAGCTGATCAATGCTTCTCTCTTACTGATGTTTCTCTCTCCCTCTCTCTCTAAAAAAATTTCAATAAAACATATTTAAAACAGAAATTAAAAATATACCTCCAAATGGGGAGATTTAGTATATGATAAGGATGGCTCTATAGCTGGAGAAAGGATGAATTATTAAATAATGCTGAAACAACTGGGTAGCCATCTGGGGGAAAAATATTTATATCACATTTTACTCTAAAATAAATTATGAATGAGGCAAAGATCTAAATATATATATATATACACATAAAAGAAGTCATAAATATACCATAAGAAATCATGGAAGATTTCTTAAAAATTGAAGAGGGAAGTCTTTAAAAAAAAAAGGTACAAAAGTCAGAAACCTTATGCTTGATAAATCCAATTACATAAACACACACACACACACACACACACACACACACACACACAATAAAACTTTGCAGGGCAAAAACACCAAAAACAAAGGTAAAAGCGTTCCCATAACAGGAAATACTAATGGCTCCTAAACATATGTCCAATCTCACTAATTTAAGAGAAATACAAATTAAGACTCATACGAAAGAGCATTTTCATAATTAGATTAGCACGCACCAGACTGTGCTGGCAATCTCTCACACACTATCTTAATCTTTAGGGAGAACAATTTGGCATACCTTTCAAAATTATGTATGTATCTGACTTTCAACATAGGCATTTCACATACAGGCATTTACCCCCCAGATCTGCTCTCCTTTGTGAGCTGCTTTATGTGCAAGGATATTCACAGAAGCACAGCTTGTAATAGTAGAAGAATGCAAATGACCTCAATATGCATCAACAGAGGACCAGTTAAATAAAGCACAGGCCACCCATGCAACGAAGTCATCAGTATAATGCAGCCACTCCTGCATGTATGAATAAACAAGGAACAATCTCCAGGATCTCTTGTTAAATGAAAAAAGGAAAAAGTAAGAAACAGAAGAGTATTGTGGCATGCTCCACTGTACAAGAAAGAATTTATCTGTGTGTATTCACCTATATAAAACATATCTCCAGAAGTTTCCCAAGAAACTGGTGACAGCGATGCCTGAGAGAGAAACCGACTGTCTCAGAGGCAAGCATAGAGGGACATTCCATTTTCACTCAAGGCCCTTTTATGCCTTTTAGACTTTGTACAGTGGACATACAGCCCCTTGTTGATAAATATGTTATTTAGAAAGCATACATGTTATTGTCATGTAGTTATGTGTTTCAAATTTTAAAAACACATTTTTCTATTTTTGGAAATATAAAATAAATTAGACAAACACCACGGAAGAAAATAGTCATCCAAATCACCACCCTCACAATTAACCACTGTTACTATCTTGGCAGATATGCTTTCCTTTTTTAAAGAAAGTGACTACTTCATGAAAAGGACACATCTAAGAATTTAAACAATGTGAAAAATAAAAATATTGAAATAAAAAAACCCAAAACCCCAAATTCCACCATCCAACAATGGTGATGATAACTGTCACTTCTTAAACAACTTACTTGATGTTTCTAAGCCCCAGGTTTCCTCATCACAGACTTGGCATGAAGAAAAAATATATAAAGACTGGCATTGTGCCTGGCACAAAGGAGTTCATACATATCGGCTATTACTGTTATTATAGGACATACATTGTAGTATGATTTGTGACACCATAATCACTTATCATAAATATTATTTCCATTGGACTCAAACTAGTATTTATGGCCACGTAATGGCTGCCACTCATCTGATTCCTCTCTGAGTGACTGTTAATAATTCAATGCAATAAGAGATGTTCAGAGAAAATAATCAGCTGATATCTGAAGTGGAATAAATGATGATTATATGAAAGCATCATTAGACACAGAAAACTATCCAATGATTATAGAAAAAAAAATCTCTTCAAAATTCATCTAATAGCTATAGTAAGCCATAGAAGGACAGGGTTTTGAGTATAAGCAAAGGGTGGTTTGGCCACTTCAATAAGGAAACTGAATTCAGAAGGAAGCCCCAAGTGCTAAAGGTAAGGAACCTCACTTAAGGGCAGCTCCATCTGCCACTCCTGTTCAGGGACCAGAAGGCCCATAAGTAGAGGTGCGTATGTAAACTTTAAAACATTATTTATACGTAGTTTAAAAAATTAACTACATATTAAATGGTAAATATTATCACACAATAGTAGAGCTAAATTGAATTTTAGAGGATATTTAGGGAAATAAACTCAATAAACAGACAGAAAAATTAAGCAACTTGCTGAAGGTTACGTAACTAGTAATCTGCAGAATCTAGACTGAAACTAAGATCAAATGTCTCCCTGTTCAATAATCTTTCTACAGCACATCTATCAATTATTGAGTTTAAGTCTCTTAAGAGAATGAAACTTCTAAAATCAACGTGAAATAACCTATATTTAGTAAGTTATTTCTTCTATAATAAAATGTAGTGTCTTTCACATAGTATACAAGCAAGATTATAAAAATCTGATTTATGAAAGTAATGCCCAAACTATGCCTATACTTACAAATATGACAAAAACAAAGAACAGGTAGCATAAGATACCCTAAAGAATGCTGAACCGGGAGTCTGAGACCTGCAGGACCTGGACATTCTCTTCACTTCTCTGAGCTTCTGTTTTCTCATTTGTAACAGGTGAAAAGGAGGTGGGAAGAACTAGATCTCTCAGGCAGTTTGTGAATTGAAACGCAATTTCTATTCACAAACTGCCTGAGAGTATATTTTTATTAGGAGACAACTCAAACATAAACAAAAGTAGAGGGTATGACACCATTCTGCTTTGCACACACATCATCCAAATGTAACAATTAGCAAGATCCTTGCCACATTTGCTTCATCCAAGCCCTTCCTTTTCACTTTTGCTAAAGAATCTTAAGCAAATCCCAGAATTTCTATCATTACATTTCCCTGCATTTCAGTATTCATCTATAAATAATATGAACATAACCACATCACTATTGTATTAACAAAATTAACAGGAATTCCTTAGTAAGATCCAATGTCAACTCCGTATTCGAATTCCCCCCAATTTCCAAAAATAAAAAATAAAAAAATTCCCCCAACTGGTTTATTTAGGATTCTCAGTCAATTTTTGCTCAAAAAACACAATCCAAATACCTAGCAAGGTTTTAAGATTGAAAGTCCATATACCTAGAGTTCAAGCAACTGACCATATTGTGATTATTACTATAGAAATCTTTCTTTACCCCCAATTCAATTTAGAAACATTCAAGTGCTGTGAATATTCCCATCAATATCAGAGTGTGGCTGTCAGATAGTTATTGACTGAAAGCCAGCAGGAGCTGGCAAAAATTATGTCTAAGCAGTGCACATCAAGGGGTTAGTGTCAATGCATGAGAAGTAAAAATTAGCCCCACACTGATGGTAACCAGGCAAGAAACAATGTAGATAAAGGCGAGACAAGATACAATTGGACCTGCCAAGTGGGAATGGTCTGCTGGGATGAGCAGAATGCCTAAACTAGAATGTCAATAAACATAAAAGGCAGTGCCAAGTTCTGACATTTGTACATCAAGGTGCATTGCTGATGAAACATTAAAGGGGCCTGGAATATTGCCACTGTCTCTTTTCATTTATAGATTGGCAAGTTCAGTTAGGCGGGCTTTTCCTATGGTCGTTTGGTCTGTAATTAACCTATTCTTTCTCCAGGAGGCAGTAAGCACCTTAATTCATAGGCTTACTTAGGTCTGGAATTCAATGCTTCACATATAAATGGGAACTGAATTGCAAACAAAATGTTTTTTTACTGTTTCCTAAAAAATAATAGGCATGTGGTAAACACTGTAATAGAATACATGCTTTACAGAAATAAGACATCACTAATTCTTAGGATTCTTAAACCTTCCCTTTGGTGGTTTTAGGATTTCAGGGGGAGAAATCATCCCGCTCACACATCTGCTTTCATGTCACAGCCGCAGCCTTGAGGACTCCACTGGGCTTCCAGCTTCCTTAGATGCCCAACCCCCTAAATCTTCAAATTTTTTTTGTTTTGTAGTTAGCATATGACTATAATAGAGTGCATTCTTTATATAATTGCTCCTAAAATAAGATATATTAGTCTGCTTTATCTAATTCTTCATGTGCTCTAAGAATTCCAGAAGTTTCTGATGCAGGTATAAAGCAGGGCAATGGTTACTAAGATCCAGACAATACTAACTTGACAACCAACACTTATTTACTGAGCATCCACTTCATAAAAAGCACTGTACACTGTACAGAGATGACCATGATCCTTAGGAGTTCTCTGCTAATAGGGAAGACAGAGTATACAAAATTATAATATAAAGTGAAATGTGCCAACTGCTGTAAAAATACAGTGTAGGGAAGAACGAAGTTTGGGACACATGACTATGGGATCAGAACAACCTCCTTAGATGAGACGGCATTTGAACAGAGGAATGACATGATTAACAATTACATTAGAATATGAGTTAGCAAGGCTACTTTGGAAGCTGATGAATGGAATGAGGAAAGGTCAAAGGAGGGAAAAGAACAAGGAGACACTGCACCAGTCCCAGAAAGAGTCAAAGAGAGCTTGATTTAGACAATGATGCTGGCAATGAAGAGATGACTGTGAAGTAAGGAGAGACCCTGAGTCTGAAATACAGTTTTTAAACCCAGCAGGACCCAGGTGATTGCCGAAGCAGCAATGGTTGGTCAGATCACCAAAGGAGATAGGCTGAGAAAAGAGATCTGGTCCTTGAAGAATGTTTATATTAAAAATAAATAAAAAACAGAAGAGAAGCCAAAAGAAATGAAGAAGGAGCAGAGATGATCAGAAGAGAAAATAAACTGTCACAGAAGCTTAAAGAAGATAGAGTCTCAATAAGGTAAAGAAGAGGAAGCAACAGAAGCAGGATGCAGAAAGGCCATGAGAGTGGACAGAAAGGACAACTATCACTTTTCAACTAGGAAAAGACACAGATTTCAGGAGACGTGAGATGAAGCCAGACTGCAATGGCATGAATGGTGAGCATGAAGAAATGGAGGCAGTGAAGACAGTCTGCGAGAAGACTTTGGACGCAGAGAAAGAGTTGGAAGATAATGGATGGAGGCTATAACTATGGGGAAAGGTTCTGAAAGAGGTGGAGAAGATGACGGGGTTGGCCCCAGATCGGAGGAGCATGTTTCCGCTAAGACAGCTGCCCTAGAGAAAGTCCTTCCTTCTCTTCAAAGTGTCCATGACAGAAAGGAAGGACTGGCGGTGGTGCTAAGAGGGTAGGGATGGTGTTATAGCAGGGGCCACTCTAGCTAGAGCATCCACAAACAATGAAATCTAAAGCACAGACCTGGGTGGGGAGTTTAGGTATGGATGTCTGATTACAAACTTAGTTGCTACCTACAAATTACTAGACTCTAGATCCAATACCACCACGAATCTCTTCTGCTTAGGTTTCACACTGTGTCTGTCCTTTTTATTAGGCCTGGGTCCTGGGGGAACAACCCAGCCTAATTCTGTGAGTCTCATATTATTCAAGAATTCTGTATTGAGACTAAAATCCTGAACTTTCAGCTTAGCTTCTCATTTTTTCATGCTACATGGTGGCACCTTTGTCCACTAATTGATAATATCCTCTCATCAAGAGAAACTTCTTGATATATAATACGTGCCACTGGCCTAACCGAATCCCTTGTCCCAGTCAATCAGGACCCCCTGTCTTTATGCTAGCCACCAGCCAGAAAGAAGGCGTGTTGTTTCCTCATCTGTAAAATGTGAGCTGACCCTAGGTGATATCTAACGTCTGAATAAAATCCAGAAATTCTAAGTCGATACTGCATAGAAGTTTTGCTCTTTTCTTTCTGGTTCAGGATTTCTTAATGTAGTGTTTCCTTATGAGTATACTTATTATATCTGAACCAGTATCTAAATTTGAGATTTAAAAAATCTGGCAGAAAGAATGTGATATGAACAACAATACATTCTTTTTATCAACAGCTGACTCACCTCTCTTCATTGTTTTCCATCTGATTGGGAAAAGCAGCGAAGTCTAGCAGTAATTTAATGGCATCAAGGTATCCGTTGTTACATGACCAGTGCAAAGCTGTTCTTCCCTACAAGCATGAGCAAAAATCAAGTCCATCTGGAGTAGGTATTTTTGGACACATAGTTAATTATACTAACTCAAAAAATAAACAATTCTCTCCTCATATTACTTAATTATAGTAAGGAAAAATATTAAGCATACAGTGGAGAAAAGGATGGTATCATAACCAAGTGACCAATATTATCACTCCATTACGTGGCATCATTTGAGGAAGAAGTAAGAACAATCTTACACAAATTCATTAGGAGACTAAGAAAAGATGTACTACTTCCTAACTCTTTTTATAAGGTCAGTGTAACCCTGCTACTGAAACCTGGCAAGTATAATACAAGGAAGAAAAATTATAGGTCAAACTCTCTCATGAACATATGCAAAAATCTCAAAATATTAGCAAATAAAATCCACTAATATATACATTTTAAAAATATATCATAAGTGGCGTTAGCATCTGAAAAAAATGTAATCAATCAATGTAAGTCACCATATTAACAGCAAAAAGGAAAGAAATAATACTATCATGTTGATAGATGCAGAAGTAGCATGACAGAAATTAAACAGCATGATTTTAAAAAAGTTTTTAGCAAGTAGAAATATAAGAGAACTTATAGAACTATCATATTCAATGGTAAAATATTGAAAGCTTTGTCCTTGAGAAACCAGAATGAGTTAAGAATGTCAACTACCACCAATTCCATTCAACATTATATTGGAGCTCCTAGGTAGTTCAATAATTTAAGACAAGAAATGAAAGGTGTAAGGACTGGGAAGGAAGAAAGAAAAATGTTATTATTCACATACAGCATGATTGTTATGTAGATAATCCAAAATAGTACACATAAAAACATGACATATAAAAGTAGAACTGGAAAGTAGATTAATATAATACTTATGTAAGAAACTGGCAACTTGTAAAAAATATAAAAGGTATAGCAAATTATAAAAGATGTATTTCTAATAACTTAGGTATAAGGACCATATTTATATTTTTTCATTGTGTTAATTTTATATAGTAACAATCTTGATAAATATTTATTGAAGGAATTAATAGGACATATATTTTCTGACTTGGAAAACATAATATACTAGTATATTTAAGGAGTTAAAGTAATTAAAGTAGCAAAAGTCAATATTGGCTAAATTGAAAGAAAGCAATATATTACTACACAGCTGGAGGAAACATAGATTAACCCACATGCTTTAGAAATCAGTTAAACAGTATATACCAGAGCATAAGCATTCATATACCATTCATTCTTTGATTCAATAATCTCACTTGGAAATTATTCCAAGATAATAATATAAATAAATAAAGTTAAATGCACAAAGATGATTAATGAAACACGATCTGTAATAAAGAACATGTGTCCAGCAATAGGAAGTTACTTATTTAATTCTAAAATCTGGGTAACAGGCATAGTTTGGACCCTGACTCCCTCCAACCTGCCACTGTAGTCCCCTTAGGGTAATTATTTAGGCTCCATGAGCTTTAAGTTCCTCATCTGTAAAATGGGGATAATAATAGTAACTACGCTATAGAATTTATGTGAGGATTGAACACTCTTAGAACTCTGGGATGTTAAACATCCACGATTATGAAAAAGATTATAAACCAAATAAGAAAATATTGGTGATAATTTTAAGTGAACAAAACCAAATGTGGTTTGTAAAATCACATCATATATTTATATACATACATATCCATATGCCATGTATATATACTTTACAAAGTTACAGAGTTATTCCCATTATGACTTTGTTAAATTATATAGGTATATAGGCAAGGACTTGAAGAGAGCATGGGCAAATAAAAATCATTTTTAATTAGCAGATTTGTGGGGGATCTCTTCATTTGGCAAATTGTCATTTTACTTAATTTCAGTGAACAAAGAAAAAAATACTCTAAACACTTTGGAGCAGACAATATAGAAAGACCCAGCCTTTCTACCTCTTTGTCTTGAATGTTAGGGTCTGCATTATTCTCCATGAGCACTGCCATGCAGTTGATGTATCCCCCATACGCAGCACACTGCAGAGGGGTTCTTCCTGCGTAATCTTGCACATTTGGATTGATCTTATTTTCTATCAATATCTGGCAAACATCGGCATTTCCTCCCAGAGCTGCCCAGTGAAGAAGAGAATGACCGTCCTGGTCAACTAGATCTACCCTTGCTCCACCTGAAAAAGCAAGAATATAATGAAAATGACTATCATAGAGAACAAACAGATTCTTACATGCTTTATATGCTTAGCAGAATGCTTCCACATATATTATCTACTTCAGATGTTTACAATAAGCCTTGGTCAGGTTTGGCATCATTTCCCTTTTACAGAAGATAAAACAGGATCAGGCAGGTGAAGTAACTGCCAAAATCACACAACTACCAATAAGTGGAGGTAGGCCCTGTGTTTCTTGATGCCATCTACCCTCTATCCTCTACCCAGGCGGCTCTGCTTTGTAAGGCTGTGTATTTCAAATGGTGAATGCAATAATTCCTACATTTTGAGAGTGACTTTTTTTAATTGTTGACACTATTACAGATGTCCCCATTTAGGAGCACTCGTAATAACTAACCTTTAATAAGGGTCTGAATCACATCTTTGTGTCCCATCTCACAGGCTCGGAAAAGTGGAGTATGCTTCATGACATCAGTAGCATCTACTTGAGCATTATTTTCCAATAATAGCTTCACGGTGCTGACATGGCCAGAAAGGGCAGCAGCATGTAAAGCTAAAAAGGGGGCAAGAGAAGGTGATAAACTCTTTAATTTTTTGTTGTGTTTTTATTGATTCCAGATAGAGGGAGAGGGAGGAGGGGAGGGGGAGGGGAGAGAGATAGAAACATCAATGATGAGAGAGAATCATCGATAGGCTGCCTTCTTCACACCCCCTACTGGGGATCGAATCCACAACCTGGGCATGTGCCCTGACTGGGAATGGAACCCTGACTTCCTGGTTCATGGGTGGACACTCAACCACTGAGCCACACTAGCTGGGCTGATGAACTCTTTAATAACAACTTTACCTTTTTATTATTCTAACTATGCATCTTTTCCTGTTTTGATTTCCCTATCATTTTGGCTAAATGCAATCTGATCTTAAAGATTCTCTTTTTCACTTTTGTAGATTTCTATCTTCCTTTCTATTCAGAGTATTACTCACACTTTTCCCTTTCTCATCTCACTATTCTTCCTTTGCATCCTATTGGTCTGAAATTGTCCCCTCTTCTCTGTTACTATTTTACTATCTTTTCCTCTTTCTGGGAGAGTGAGAGATAAACAACAAAGAAGACAAATAATTTAAATGATGCAGGCAACACTGCCCACTGAACCCTCTCAATAAGCATATGCCCGAGGGATGGTGGCAGGAGACATCAATCCTTCCTTCAGTGGTTACACGAGCTACTCCTGTGGCTGCTACCCACATGCTACTGAGAGCTGTCGCACATCTTACTGCACTGAGTGCCTTTTTCATACAATATGGCTCCAAAGACACGTCAGCAGTTTCCTCAGGGCCCAGTTTAGGAAACAGCAATTCCTTTCAACACTGGAGAAAACACTGCGATAGAATTTGGTCTCTTCTCTGGTGCTTTTGGAAGAGGTTTCAAAGACTGGCTGTGACTATATGTGAGTTCCATGTTGGGCTGACCCCTGCTATGTTACTCCACTTTAGTGCTTGTCTCATCCCGTCACTCTTTAAATTCTATTTAAATTCACTCTATAAATTTTGCTGAATTCTAACTATCTAGAAGCCTGGGCCAATTCTTTCTAAGTGTTACGGCTCTATAGTACCTAGAACAAACAAACAAACCCACTGGACCCATATACCTAAGCAAGAAAGTACTAGATAGTGATGAATGGCATAATTAAAGAAGGAAGTAACAAGATATTTTGATTTTAGAGTGACTGGTGGTTAGGGAAAGCTTTGCTAAGGAACTGGCATTTAAGCTGAGACCTGAATAAGAAACGCGGTGATCTGGAGAAAGAGTAGCCGGGGCAAAGGGAACAGTCAGGACAGGACAGGAATGGATGTGCGTTTAGGGAAGGCAAGGAAGCTGCAGCACGGCAGGCAGAAAAGGCCAGGTCATGAGTGCCATGCGGTAGACACTGAGGTGAGTGAGACTGTCTGATTTATGGCTTAAACAGAAAACCTCCAGCTGTTCTCAGGGAAATGCATTGTAGTAGACTAGGATATAAGCAAGGAGCTCAGTTAAAACCATTGCAGTAGACTGGGTGAAAAATGATGGCTCACACTAGGGTGGCAGGAGTGGAGAAGGAGAGAAAGAAAAAGATTTAGAATATATTTTGGAGGGGGAGTCAACAGGACTTGTTGACAGGATTTGAAATAGGATCTCTGTCCACATCGTCTGGAAATCTGCATTTCGACAAATAGCCTAGTAATTCCTATGCATACTTGAGTGTGAGAACTCTGACCTAAATGGATAGAGTTGGTGTGGCCTAGACAAGATTCAGATGGGTGTGTGAGACTTCACGTATCTGAAGTTCTGTCACTTCAGATATGTAAACAGAGCACAGAGTGGGACATTCAGGTTGACAAATTTTAGCTCAGTATAAGGAAGAGAATTCTAGAAGAGTTAGGTTAAAAGTAAAGCACTGGGTTCCCTATATTGGAGCTGTTCGAACAGAGGCTGAAAGACAAGTACTGAAGAATGGTGTGAGGCAGATTATTTTCACATTTTAAGAGCATAAGAATGGCTTTTCCCCAAAATGAAATTTTATAAAACATTCAACATATAAAAAAAATTAGAATTGTTCTGCTGAAACAGGGGTAGAAGGTTATCCACTTAAGCATCCACACTCCCAGTTCACCTGTATAAAAGCCTGTTGTCCCAAAGAACACGGCTGAAAAACTCTGGACCAGGACTAATTCTAAGGTGCTTGCTAATTCTGAAACCATATAATTCTGTGATAGGGCACAAGGATGCAATAGATACTCTTCAGATAAACATCAATGTCACATAAAAACACACAGCACAACGTGAATTAAGTAAAAAAGATAGAACAAACAATTTTATTAAAGGAATTTCCCCATTTCTGAGTATTTGCATTTACTTTATTTTAAAATGACCTTAGACTTAAATATTGTTGCTTCCTCTTTGAAAAAGTGCCACAAGTTTACATAGAAGTGCTATTTTTTAAAAGTTAAATTTATGCTATGGAAAATTTAAACATATTCAAAAGTAAAGATAGTAAACTCAATATAGCCATCATCCGGCTTCAGCAATTATCAGCACATGGCTTACTGTGCTCCCTCTAACTGCCATCAATACCCCTCACTTCTGATTGCTTTTATTGAAATTTTAGAATCATATCCTTCCATTTGTAAATATTTTATTTATTTATTTTTTTAAAAAATATTTATATTGATTTCAGAGAGGAAGGGAGAGGAGAAAGAGAGAGAGGGAGAGAGAGATATCAATGAGAGACTCATTGATCACCTGCCTCCTGCAGGCCCCCTCCTGGGGATTGAGCCCAGCACCCAGGCATGTGCCCTTGATGGGAATCAAACCCGGGACCCTTCAGTCCACAGGCTGACGCTCTACCCACTGAGCAAAACCGGTTAGGGCAGTTTATGCTTTTTTTACACTAAGATAATCAGAAGAGTGTCCATAATCATGTGTAAGGAGCAACCAGGGTTTTACACCAAATGCCAACATTCACCTGGTAGAAACAGGCTAATTTTGGTCATAATACTTAGAGGAAGTAGGCCTTTGAGTGATCTCCTGGCAACCTAAACTGAAAAAGCAAAAATGAAAGTCAAATAATGTTTTATTAGGAACAACGATTTTAAGGTTCTGTTGTACATTTTATAGCATCACTTACATTTTGGAGCCTGAATAAAAGAAAATCAATTATGTCTACCAGTTCTTACCTGTACCTCCATATTTGTCTGCCATGTTGATATCAATGTCAGACTTTAAACTCAGCATAGTCCTAAGGACATCATCACTGCCTTTCCCAGCAGCCCACATAAAGGATGTTCTTCCTTCGAGGTCTGAGTCATCTTTTACCGAAGGATGTTTTAAAAAGACCTTAACTGTTTCCTGTAAGAAAACTTCATTTAAAAATTTGAGACAAGAGAGCAGTATTTTTTATGGTAACAAAGCAACTGTTATATGTGATTTCTACTAAGAAGCCAAGTATTTTTCCCTACTTTTGAATCAAATGAAATGATTGTAGGTTTTTTTTGGTTATTGTTACTGTTTTGCAAAAAGAATTAAAACCTCTTATAAGCCGAAACCGGTTTGGCTCAGTGGATAGAGCGTCGGCCTGCGGACTGAAAGGTCCCAGGTTCGATTCCGGTCAAGGGCATGTACCTGGGTTGCGGGCACATCCCCGGTGGGGGATGTGCGGGAGGCGGCTGGTCGATGTTTCTCTCTCATCGATGTTTCTGACTCTCTATCTCTCTCCCTTCCTCTCTGTAAAAAATCAATAAAATATATTTAAAAAAACAAACAAACAACAACAAAAAAAACCTCTTATAAATTAATAAAGTCCAAGAAAATTAATGGGCTTAATATTAAGCTTAGAATTTTGCATAATTATTTAAAAAATAATCTCTGGGATTGGCAGATTATCCCAAACAAGTATTTTTTTTATATATTTTATTGATTTTTTACAGAGAAGAAGGGAGAGGGATAGAGAGTTAGAAACATCGATGAGAGAGAAACATCGATCAGCTGCCTCCTGCACGCCCCCCACTGGGGATGTGCCCGCAACCAAGGTACATGCCCTTGACCGGAATCAAACCTGGGACCCTTGAGTCTGCAGGCTGACGCTCTATCCACTGAGCCAAACCGGTTCGGCCAAACAAGTATTTCTTTGAATGAACATCCATAATGTTCTACAATTTTTCTTAGTCCCATTAGTATAGTTACTTAATTACTGGTATCTGTACATATGTTAAATTTGGAGTCTAGACTTGGGTTCAAGATCCTGGGCAAGTCTTTTAATCTCTTGGAACCTTGGTTTCTTCATATGTAAATAGGGCTAACATGTTCTATCTCATAGTCTTGTGGTGAAACATGGATTGAGTTCTGATTTTTATAGATTGACTAGACTAGGGCAACTTATTTTCTTATCTCTTTGTAATAAGAAAGATATCCTCTTCAAAATCTACTTTGTATTTTTTCTGAGATCTTGGAAGATAAAAGAAGATAATGGTTAGCCAGAACTCTAGGTGATAAATAAAATAAATTTTTATGAATGTCTGCAAGAAAGGACTATAGCTATAGTTCTGTGAGTACCAGCGAGAAAGAAGGGTGGAAATATGATTTTGGCAATCTGAGTACTCAATGTATTCAATGGTGCAGTTAGGGAAGTCAGGAAGACAGAAGTATACTATGCTGATGACAGCATTCTAATAATTTAATGAAACCAAAGGTTTCACTATGCATACCATGTAGAAGGCATCAAAATCAACCGTGACTGCTTTAATGCTCACTTCTTGGGTTCTTGGTGGCCACTCATGCTCAAGGAGCTGAAGCAGCCTAGACACTATTATGTTCTGGCTGGACTGAGTGACAAAATGGATGAGAAAGTGCGTTGTAAATTATAAAATTTGGTAAGTGAAGAACTTTTAATATTATTCAATATCTTTGGAAATATCAATAATTCATATGATTGCTTTTTCAGGTATATAAAGGACACAATTATCAGCACTAGTAATAATAGGAAGGCGTTCCATTTTTTGAGTACCTGCTCAATGCCAAGACTACAGTAAGCACATGTCATAAATTCTCCCTAATCCTTACAACAATCCTGAAAGAAAAGGTATAATTATCATCGTTTACATATGAAGAAACTAAGACTCAAGGAGGTTAAGAAATTTGTGCAAAGTCGCCCGGCCAGCAAATACCACAGTCAGGAATGAGCCAAGGTTTATCTAGTTCCAAAGCTTTGCCACAGTGCCTTCAGGACAACTGTAGATTGCTGAACACTAAGTTTTCCTCAGTGCTATAAAAGTCACAAAAAGATGAAGTGTACTTACAGTAAGGCCAATGTTACACTGAGCAGTAAAAATAAAAAGTGCATAAAACTTCACATGTAACAATTTTATAAAAGCTCAGACTATCTTTTGCATCACAGAGTTAACAATATGAACAATTGTTGAAAGATAATTACTGTACAAACTCACATACTAGTATAGTAAGCACATGTAAATGGTGAAATTTGAGTAAGGTCAGTGGGTTGTATCCATGTCTATTTCCTGTTTATGAGACTGCATTACATTTTTGCAAGATGTTACTTACCATTGAGGTAGATGGGGTGAAGGGAACATTGGACCTCGCTGTTTCATTTCGTACAACTGCCTATAAATTTACAATCATATAAAAATTAAAATTTAATTAAGAAAAAAGATAATTGTCATGTTTTACTTACAGCAAAGTTACTCTGAGCTGCATAGTGCAAGGGTGTTGCTCCTTGGCTGTCGGAGGGGATGGTTCCAGACTTATTTCTTTCTAAAAGGAGATGGACAATCTGTGCATGGCCTGAAAGCAGACACAACAAGGTAGCGATCACATACAAAGGCATTAATTAACTTATAATCTATTTAAAGGAAAGGGGTAAGAAAAATCACTAGCACATACATATAACATTCAAATGGTTTCTGAGGAGCAGCCCTCAGTGCAGCCTCTTCTAACTTCTCATTAAAATACTATGATAATGTAGGACAAAGGTAAAAACTACCATACTAAAAACTTAAATCTTCAATCAGGAAGGAAGTGACATTAATTACTATTTCCAGATTGAGACAAAAGAATGCTAGGGTATCGGCTTACTGCATTCCCTGGCTTCACTTTAGAAACTGCCCATGGGAAAAGTGGAAGCTGCACTAGAAACCAGAAGCCAGCCCCACTGGGCCATCAATGCTTCTGGTCTCCAGGTTCCACTGCACAACCAATCCGAACTGCACGGCTGTTCTCTTCTTCTGTCTGGGAGCACAAACTGTAATATAATCTCCTGTGATCTCTGAGGCCTCCTATCCATCCCCCAATCTTTTAACATCTAAGCAATGATTTCAAATCCCTACAAACATGTGGGCAGGAATGAGGAGGTGGCTGGTGGTACAGAAAATATTCTACAATGCATTCTGGAGGATGTGGTCTCCACAAGTGAAGAACGGCAGAAAGGATCAAAGAATGAACAAACCTGCTAGTAGTGTATCTAGAAAACCCGAATTTCACAAATCCTCTTTCTTCAGCATACTGAAGAACCAAACAGCAAAGCAGACGCCACATTAGCAGGGCAAGGACACACTGCACGAAAGCCAGGCAGGAGGAAGGACTTTTGTGAGCACTGTGCTCATCGCCCTGCTCTCCAGCTGTGGTTGGAGATGGACTTCTCCAGCACACAAACAGACAAAGCAGGATCAAAGGCAATCTATGCCATGTGGTCAACTGAAACACATCCTATCTTGTCTGAAGGATAAAACACCATCAGAAAGATGAAGAGCATACCTCAGAAAGTGATCTAGAGAAGGATCCAGAGGAAAATTCAGGAAACTGCTTGGCATCTTCGACTAAGTACAAAGAGATGGCCTCTATGAAACAAAACAGAATATCCTAAAAAGAAAATGGACTGGAATGAAAAGGTAATGGAAGGAAGTAAAAAGGGAACTAGACAGAGATAAAAGGAAATATGGATGAGAAAAGGAAATCAAACTATAATCTATAAGAGGCAGAAAACAAGCAGAACTTATGGAACAAAAAGTCAATTTAATGACATGGAGACAAGTTTGTGAAGTCCTCCCAGAATGCAGAAGAAAAGGGAAAAGGGATGAAACTGTACATTGAAATGAACTCTAATTAAATAATTTAAAAAATAAGACCACAATAATAATTGGGAAAAAAACCTCAGGTTATATTAACAAATACTAAAAGAGCAATAAAAGTGTGCTAAGTTCCTCATTTTAAATAGATTGGAATGAACATATGCAGTTTTGCTCTTGACTTTGACTGAGGCTTAAAAAGCTTTTGATCAATTTAAAGGTAACCACTAATAAAACTTAAATAGGCTCCTGAAACATTAGGCAATTTAAAACCAAATAACAACAAACCTAATCTACAAACCAAAAGGCAGAAAAACAACAACAGAAAAACAAAAGCAAATTAAAAACAAAAACACCAATAATAATCAAAGAGCAGAATAGCAGGAAAAATAGCAAATAATATATAAGAATAACTATGTAAAACTCCTGCACTAAAAGAGAAAGACTCTCAGATTGCCCCCAAAATCAGACACATATAGGTACTCTCTCATCTAAAGAAAGTGATACCCAAAAAGGTTAAGTAAAAGGCATATCAGGAAAATATAAAGAAAAAAATCAAATATGATTGTATTAGCACAAACATAAACTTAAACCTCTCCTCCCCCCCAAATAAAGACACTGAATGTGGAAAGAGGATTATTTTACATTGGTATTTGTCAATAAATGTGCACTACTTTTATGATAAAAACTAGAGGCCCGGTGCACAAATTCGTGCATGGGTGGAGTTCCTTGGCCTGGCCAGCGATTGGGCTGATTGGGGACTCTCTTGCCCAGTCCTGATTTGTGCTGATGGGGCCAGCTGGCCAGGCAGAGGGACCATGGGAGGTTGGCCGGCCATGAGAGCTGGCTGTGGGAGCACATTGACCACCAGTGTGCATTGAGTGTCTTCCCCCTGGTGGTCAGTGCACGTCATAGCGACCGGTCGACCGGTTGTTCAGTCGACTGATCATAATGGTCACTTAGGCTTTTATATATATATATTAAAAGACATGATGTTGAAATGAAAACTAATATATGACAGAACACATATTATTAAAATTTAAGCATAAATAGAGGGATTTAGGTGTAAAATGGTGCCACATAATTAGAAATATAAATAAATGGAAGATGGGAGTTAGGAAAAGAGAAGGCATAGAAAAAGTTTCCTATGCTCACACAGTTCCTCCTACTGTTCATCTTCTGAGTCACATTCAACTCACCTAGTAGAGCTGCCCAGTGAAGTGGAGTTCGAAACAAGTTATCATAAGATGTTATATTGCAGCTTTCATATGAGGTCAAGACATCAACCACTGTCATGTTCCCATCAGCGACTGCAAAGTGAAGAGGTGTTCGCCCCTCATAGTCTTGCCAGTTCAGTAGAGACTCCGTTGGAGCAGCATCCTATTTTTAAGGAACCAGAGATTTCAGACACATATATCCTCAATAAAACACAATTGACATATTAACTGAGTAGTTTTCTAAACCTTATGTTCTCTCTCAGCATAGTAAAGTGATACAATTTTATTTTCATATTTAACCATAAAAAGTATAGAAAAGATATAATAAATACCATTCACTGACTATCTAGATTGAATAGGTATAATATTTTGTGCTTGTGTATCTGGTATGGATTGAGCTAAAGCTGTATGTTTTGTTCTTTGCTCCCTATGTATACAACTATAAACAATACATAAATTTTGTATGTGTGTTTTTTTAATATTTACACTTGTGCATTATACACTGCATATCCTTTGGCAATTTTTTTCAACACTATATTTTGGGGTATCTATGTTGATACTAGTTAATCTTTAAGCCACAATGTAGTTACCCATTCTCCTACTGAAGGATACTTAGGTTATTTACATTTTCCCACTATTAACAATAATGCTGCAATGAACACACTTCCTTTACATGTCCGCTTGTAGCACATACGTCTCTCTAGACTAGAAACCTAGAGGGGGAATTACTAAGCTGGAATTGTTAAGCTGTTCTTCAAATAGTTGTTCCAATGAACACATCCATGACCATGTGTAAAAGTTTTTGTTTCCCCAAATGCTGGCACAAATTAACCATTTAGTATTATCAAGTTTACTACACTTTCCCCTTGTAGGTATAAACGGAATTTCTCTGTTGTTTTAATTTATGGTTTTTAGAGAGGCCATCTGGGTCTAGCAGCACCGTGGTACTCACCAGAATGCATCGCACTGTATGCACAGCGCTCGGATCTTTGTGGTTGGCTGCCCAGTGAAGTGGGATCTTGCCTTCGACATCGGGAATCCCAATGTTGGAATCATGCTTGATCAGCAGCTTCACGTGCTCAGGGTTGTTGTAGTAGGCACTCCAATGCAGAGCTGTTTGCTGCAAAATTGAGATTCTTAAAATAGTAACAACAGTAACAATACATGACCCATTGTTCCCAGGCTTTTACTGTGTAGCAGGCACTGTTGTAAGAGTTTTATGTATTTTATCTCATGTAGTTGTCATGACAATTCTGGGAGAAAGTGCCCTTGAATTTGCACATGATTGATAAGGAAACTGCGCATAAGGAGGATAAGTATTCTGCTCAAGGACATAAAGGTAGTAAGTGACCAAACTGAGATTTTAACACGGGCAGTCTGCCTCCACATCTGCTGTCCTTTTCATGGCAGGCATTCAGGTAATCAGAAACTAAGGAATGATAATACTGAGAAAGAGAAAAGCAGCCCAATAATTTATGAATAATTGTCAACAAAGTGATGATCTTCATATTGTATCAAGCAACTTCATAATTTGACACAATGTTTTGAATTTTATTATTAAAAAATCCATGCATAGGAAATCATAGATCTGGAATTATTTTTTTTTCATTTTTCTTTTTTCTTTTTTTTTTAGCTGTTTGCCTAATAAGTTTATTGTCTCTCTTCTGGAAAATCTTCATAGAAAATTATGATTTGGTTTATTAGCTCTCAGCAGCCCGTTCCTGAGCTCTGAGGAAGCTTGCTTTCTTCTGAGCTACCCGATCTTTCTTCTGGGCAAGAGACATTTTGGGACGGTTCCACCTCTTCTTTTTAACTTCTTTCTTAGGCTTCTTCTCATAGAGTGGATTCTCTCGTATAGCGGCATGAGCTTTCTTATACATCTCCTCCATGTCTGGAGTTACGTTTTCTTTATATATTGAGAGAACTGTTTCTTGTAAGCATCTTCATCTTCTTCCATTACATAACGCATATAATCTGCAACGTTCTGACCCATGATGTGCTTCCGATGTACTTCTGCATTAAATTCCTTGCTTTCTGAATCATAACCAGGGAATCGTTTGATACTGTGAGGGATAGATAGGCCTCCATCCACAGCTCCCTTCAGGGCCCCAAAAACTTTATTTCCAGTAGTAGTTCTGGCAAACTCTGCATCCAAGTAGCAGGTGAAGGCACCAGGTTGACCATCAATGCTTTCCACATTGTATTCATCTCCAGTCACCTCCACCTGGCCTTCATAGATCTTGTCCATGCCAAACCTATTGAGAAGCCTGCGGGCCAGCAGCAGGCCAGTACAATATGCTGCAGCATAATTTGTCAGGCCAACCTTCACACCATACTTGGGGAGTTCATGAGCATAAGCTGCACAAACTATCATATCTCCTTCTATACGGGCATAAGCGATCTGACAGATGATGTCTCGGTTGGTGACGCGGACGATCATCCGGTACTTCGGTGTGTTGTACTTATTTTTATCCTGGATGACCAAGCGTTTCCGGGCATAGTAATCGGTTTTACCCTCTCGCCGTCTTCTGAATTTCACTTGGTATCGCTTGAAGTAGGCCTTATTCTTGACAACTTTCACAAACCCCATCCTGCGGAAGAGAGACCCACGGCCGCGGCTCGCCACAGACCTGCAGGCCTAGCCTAACTCTGGTGGAGAAAAAGCTGGAATTATTTTCTTATATCAAAGAATAAATTTAGCTGTAATTTTACATGATAAATTGTTAGACCTAGTTACTGATAAAAGATACATTTGGAAAATACAGCAAGATTTGCTTTATTTCAGATAAAAGTTAAAAATGAACATTCGAAATGGGCTGACATTACTTTAAAATCTCTTCTTCATGCTCATCAACATACCATAGTAAGACTGCTTTCTCTGCCAAGAGATTTATTAAGGAGACAAAAGTAGCACTGTCATCAAGCCAATCTAGAATAAGGTCATCTAACAGCAGGAACCAAGCTCATTTGTCACAATAAACACTTTATATATACACTAGAGGCCTGGTGTACAGATTCGTGCACTAATGGGATCCCTCGGCTTGGCCTGTGCCCTCTTGCAATCCAGGATCCCTCAGGGCTGATCAGGGCCAGCCAGGGAGGGACTGCGGGAGGGCTCCAGGGCGTGTCTGGCCTGTCTCGCCCAGTCCCCATCGGCCGGACCCCAGCAGCAAGCTAACCTACTGGTCTGAGCGTCTGCCCCCTGGTGGTCAGTGTGCATCATAGCGACTGGTCAAACCGTCAAATGAACGAACGGTCGGACACTTAGCATATTAGGCTTTTATTATGTAGGATGGTATTCATTCAGAGTGTACCTATAGGCATTTAATATAAAGAACCACTATTTAACTTAATACCTTTTATTTAGTAATAACTGCAAAACAAAAAAAGTCACAAATACAATAGCAATGAATTGCCTATAACTATATTTTCAGTAAACAACATGTGCAATTTCTGTAATTCTTTTCTTTTCCCATGTAATGTTTATTCTGAATGTATTTATTGAAATGTAATATTATGTCTGTTGAATCTAAGAGTAAAAAATTTGGGATTGCATTTTTTATATTTTTGTTTTTATTTTTCTGGTAATTCTTTTTTTACTCTGGTAAAATTCCTATATAATAAAAGAGTGATATGCAAATTGACCATCACTCCAACATACAAGATGGCCACCCCCATGTGGTCAAAGATGGCCACCACAAAATGGCCGGCAGGGGAGGGCAGTTGGGGGTGATCAGGCCAGCAGGGGAGGGCAGTTGGTGGGGAGGGCAGTTGGGGGGGGGGCCAGGCCAGCAGGGGAGAGCAGTTAGGGGCAACCAGGCTGGCAGGGGAGGGGAGTTGGGAGGGACCAGGCCTGAAAGGGAGGGCAATTGGGGGTGATCAGGCCTGCAGGGGAGGTTGGGGGGGGGGCCAGGCTGGCAGGGGAGGGAAGTTGGGGGCAACAAGGCTGGCAAGGGAGAGAAGTTAGGGGTGACAGGTCCAGCAGGGGAGGGCAGTTGGGGTGACCAGGCCTGCAGGGAAGGGAAGTTGGGGGCAATCGGGCCAGCAGCGGAGCAGTTAGGCATCCATCAGGCTGGCAGGCAGAAGCTGTTAGGGGCAATCAGGCAGGCAGGCAGGCGAGCGGTTGGGAGCCAGCAGTCCTGGATTGTGAGAGGAATGTCCGACTGCCCATTTAGGCCCGATTCCACTGGGATCGGGCCTAAATGGGCAGTCAGACATCCCTCTAGGGGTCTCAGATTGGAGAGGGTGCAGCTGGGCTGAGGGACACACACACCCCACCCCGTGCACGAATTTTGTGCACCGGGCCTCTAGTATATACATAACATAAAATTCACTATTTTAACAGTTTTTAAGTGTACAGTTCAGTGGCATTAAGCACATTCAAATTGTTATGCAACCATCAGACCATACATCTAAAATATTTTTCAACTTCCCAAACTGAAACTCCATAGCCACTTAACAATGACTACCAATTGCCAGCTCCTCCCAGGCCTTGGCAACCACTGTTCTACTTTCTGTCTCTATTAATTTGACTATTCTAGGTACCTCATAAGTGGAATCAGACAATATTTCTCCTTTCGTGTCTGACATTTCACTTAGCCTAATGTCTTCAAAGTTCACCAATATTGTAGCATGTGTCAAAATTTAATTCCTTTAGAAGTGTGAATAATATCCCACTGTATGTATACACTGCCTTTTGTTTATCCAGCGATCTGCTGTCAATGAACATTTGAGTTGTTTCCATTTTTTTTTGGCTATTCTGAATAATGTTTCTATGAATGTGGATGTACAAATATCTGTCCTAGTTCCTGATTTCAATTCTTTTGGATGTACACCAAGAAAGAGTATTACTAGGTCATATGGTAATTCTATGTTTAAATTTTTAGGAACTGTCGTATTGTTTTCCACAGTGGCTGTACCAATTTACATTCCTACCAGCATTGCACAAGGGTTCAAATTTCTCTGTAGCCTCACCAACGCTTATTTTTGTATGTACGTAATAATTGCATCCTAAAGGGTATGAAGTGCTATCTTATTGTAGTTTTGATTTGCTTTTCCTTAATAAATAGTGATGCTGAGCATCTTTTCATGTGCTTGTTGGCTGTTTGTCTATCTTCTTTGGAGAAATGTCTATTCAAGTTTTAGGCCCCTTTTTAATTGGTTGTTCTTTTGGTGTTGTGCATTTATATTATATGTCATAAAATTATTGCTCTGTGACAGATTGGAAATGAAAGAAACTGATCCTCACCCTCAGATACTTTGAGAATCACTGCCCTAGGCATTTGTCTCGCTTTCTTCTCTGTGCCTGCCTAGACTGTGGAGTTCCATTTTCCACCTGTCTCACTGGATAACCTCCCATCCCTGTTACATACAGAATCATATACTAATATTGGAAGAGAGTAGGAAGTTTCTAGAATATTTGGGGAAGATATTATAAAGCCCAAAGAAATTCATAGCTTCTTAAGTGACTAGTATTCTTTGTGGATTTATCAAAGTGCTTTTTTTCAGTAAAATATTAGCACTGTGGAGATGCTGTGAGTTAGGAATAATATTAGTCTACAGCAGTGATGGCGAACCTTTTGAGCTCGGCGTGTCAGCATTTTGAAAAACCCTAACTTAACTCTGGTGCCGTGTCACGTATAGAAATTTTTTGATATTTGCAACCATAGTAAAACAAAGACTTATATTTTTGATATTTATTTTATATATTTAAATGCCATTTAACAAAGAAAAATCAACCAAAAAAATGAGTTCACGTGTCACCTCTGATACGCGTGTCATAGGTTTGCCATCACTGGTCTACAGTATGCTGTAAAACAAAGTTGATTACAGAGCTTTGGATTATGTGATTGATTACTAAACAAAATCAGAAAACTACACAAAGAACACTATGAGAGTGAACAGATTATTGAATATAAACATTGTGGATGTAATCATAAGAGTTTTAATTACATGGGAGTGTTACAGTTAGCAAGACTCTATAATTAAGTGCCTGGTTAAAACAGAGGAGTATTGAACTTGTCTAACTAAAGACTACATTTTTTCCCTGTAAAAAACGATCAGAGCAATAACCAGTCTATTACAATGACCAATGTGTACAATATGTTAAACTTCAAAATCAGGGAAGATAGTGAATCATAGCAACAAATGCCAGGACGGATGCTAGAACCAAAAGGAAATGACTATCCATCGGCCACCACAAATCTAACACCATGGTCACTATCACAACCAGCTGTTCAATAAGGGGTTTCTGTTTGAATTCTAGTCCCACCACTTGGATCTTGGACAGAATTTTAATCTTCTTGAGCTTCAGTTTCTCCATCTGTATAAAGAAGATGGTACTATCTCCTACACATGGTTGCTAGGAGGATAAAATGACAGACTTTAAGTGAAATACTTTATTAGGGCATGTGGGGACTTGGGAGTTCTTCTATCATGTGTATGAGGGGTAATTCCTGCCTTCTTCCTTGAGGTTTCATATTATAAAAGGAAGCACATGCTTCCTGTTCTTATTTGTCTTTTATTTTGGCGCACCATTACCTTGTTTTTATCCTGTGTATCCACCTCTCCTGGCGCCATAAACTTCAGCAGAAGCGCTAAACACTTGGGGCTTTTGTGCCGGGTTGTCAAGTGCAGAGGAGTCATCTCTTCTAGATCCTTCTGCATCCAATTCGCTCTACGTGTGAGTAAGAGTTTCATGAAACGATAATTTCCCTAAATAAAAAACAAGAGATGGTAAGAGGAAATTTAGTTTGAGGCCATTATTTTTTAAAATTTTATTATTTTTAAAAAATGTATTTTTATTGATTTCAGAAAGGAAGGGAGAGGGGGAGAGAGAGAGAGAGAGAAACGTAATGATGAGAGAGAATCATTGCTCGGCTGCCTCCTGCATGCCCCAAAATGGGGATGGTACCTGCAACCTGGGCATGTGCCCAGACCAGGAATCGAATCGCAACCTCCTGGTTCATAGGTTGGTGCTCAACCACTGAGCCACATCGGATGGGCAAATTTTTTAAAATTTTAAAGTGTTTCAAGTATTGTAATTATTCTGCTGCAATAATAACATTCAGAATAATAAGAGGAAAATATTTAAAGTTCTACTACTCTTTCAATTGTTTAATTTTTTCATGTTTCCTTCTAGCCCCTTTCCATATGCATCTAGTTTACATAGTTGCTGGTCAATATTTCATTTTATAAAAGCAACATATTTTATTTAACCATTCTAATATTATTTCCAATGTTTTCTTTATAGAAGAAAACAGGTTTGTTTTTTTCTTAAAATTTTTCATAAGAATAAATTATCAGGAACCAATTTACTGGGTCAAAGGAGTTTGTACATTTTATGTTTTTTGGTGTATTTTCCAAATTGCTATATAGTAGCAGCAATAAGTATATTATCTTTAGCACATTTTGACCAACATAACACATATTATTTATATTCAAAATATGGTAACTTTGTGAAATAAGCAGAGATTTTAAACCCCAATTTACAGGTGAGATTCAAAGGGGTTAAATGTGTTGTTCACAGTCACCTGGTTGATAAGGAGGAGGTGCTAGTTTTCTGGAAGACAGCTATTTACAGGTACAACTGAAGTAGAAGCACACTTTGTTCACACTTCGGGTTCCTGACTCATAGGTCACCTAAACACCAACCCAGAAGTCATAGCAGGCCATCCATCTGAGGCAATTCTCTCCACATCAGTTAAACCCTCCAATTTGATAGAATCAACTCATCTGGAAAAAGAAACAACTACAAGGGTAGAGCAACACACTGGAGGGGATCCTTGCCAATCATTATAGAACAGTACCTCCTTATCCACAGCTTCGTTTTCGGTGGTTTTCGTGACTGCAGTCCAAAATATTAAATGGAAAACCACAGAAACAAGCAATTCATAAGTTTTAAGCTGTGTGTAGTTCTGAGTAATGTGATGAAATCTTGTGCCATCCAGCTCTGTCCCGCCTGGGACTAGAATCATCTCTTTATATAGTGAGTCAAGAATCACCCCTTCATTTACTGTAGTCATGCCACATACCCTACCGCCCATTAGGCACTTAGTAGCCATCTTGTTATCAGAGAGAGAGACCACATTCACATAACTCTTATTACAGTACATTGCTATAATTGTTCTATTATTAGTTATTGCTATTCTCTTAATGTGCCTAATTTATATATTAAAATTTATCATAGGTATGTGGGAAAAAACATAACATATAGGGTTCAGTGGTAACCTCAGTTTCAGGCATCCACCCGGGGTCTTGGAATGTATTCCCCACAAATAAGGGGGGGCTATTGAATAGTACAGTATGTCTGTGTAATATGGGAGCCTTGAAACAAACAAACCAAAAAAAAACACAAACACAAACCCTACAAAAAAATAGTTCTTTTGAGGTTTTTCCGAAGATGCTTAGTACTACAGATATTTCAAAGTCAACATGACCCAACTGTATTGCATGACCAAGGTCTCTGCCTACTTCATGCCCCTTTACCTCTCCCTATTCAAAGTTAAAGCACAGTGGCAGGGTTATCTGTCCTTTTCACTTTCTGAGATCCTCTCCACCTTTAACCTTATTGGAAATTTGGCCGTTTAGGATTATAATGCGTTGATGTTCTACTATGAGGGGTTATCAGTGTAAGTAAGGAAGACATTTGTTAATTAAGCATTCCCCCCGCCTGCCCCCACCCCCTCTGAGTGAAGACTGTGAGGCTCTAGTGTGAAGGAGACCAGTTAGAGCAACAACGAGGTGCAAAGGATGAATGAGAGTTGCCTGCTCGTCCAAAGGGCAGAGACAGGATTTAACCCAGCTCAAGAATTGGGGCAGAATAAGCCAGTCGGAGAAAGACAAGTATCACATTATCTCACTCATATGTGGAATCTAATGAACAAAATAAACTAATGAACAAAATAAATCCAGAGACATAGAAGCATGGAACAGACTGACAAATCTCAGAAGGAAGGAGGGGATGGGTTGGGTGGGAAGAGATTAACCAAAGAATATATATGCGTATGGGCATAATCCATGGACACAGACAATAGTGCGGTGAAGGCCTGGGGTGGGAGGGGAGGTGCACTATGGAGGGGGTCAATGGGGAAAACAAAAGGGAACATCTGTAATATTTTCAACAATAAAGATAAATTATAAAAAAGAATTGGGGAAGAGATAAGAAAGAACAAGGCTAGGAAAAGGGGTCCATAAGACTGTCTAGGGTGGGTGGGTGGGAAGAGATCAACCAAAGAACTTGTATGCATATATATGCATAACCCATATGTAGTGTGGTGAAGGCCTGGGGGTGAGCGAGAAGTCAATGGGGGAAAATAGGGGACATACGTAATTCTTTTAACAATAAAGATTAAAAGCAACAATGACTGCCTCTATCAGATGGGCAGACTTGGAATAGACCAGGAGTGGGGAACGTCCAGCCTGTGAGCGGTAAAAGGCCTGAGAAATCATTTGGTCTGGCCCTGCTGGGGCAACCGCAGGTGGAACTCGAAATTCAATATATCTAGGAGCTTTTTTCATAGCAACATACATTTATATTAAGTGAATGTATTAAGAGAATGATGTTATAAATATCCAAATGGCTTTTGGAAAAAAAGGTTCCCCACCCTTGGAACATACTGAAAAGCAAACTGGCTCAGCTCAGCTATTTCTTCTCAGAAAGGCTTGTCCTTGACCACCCAAAGTAGACCAACCTTATGTTGTTCTTTATTCTCGCACCCTTTTATACCATTCATATACTTTTCTCAGTTTATAATGACCTATACATGTGTTTGTTCCCTCTACTGTGATCTTCCTCACAAGCTGTCAGCTACAGAGGCTATGTTTTAATGACCACTGTGCTTGGCAGTGTTCCTGGCACAAAATAGGTATTTAATAAACATCACTTGAAGTTCTGAGTGAATAAGAGGAAACGAGATATCTTCTAGAGGTTTTGTTTTTATTTAAAAATTCTTACAGTTGCTACATCAAGTATAACAGAATCCTAATTCTCAGATATCTGGTATTTTGTTACTCTTATTTTTTAATATTTCATGTATCTGAGCCTCATTCATAGCAGACATCATTTATCAGGACTTCTCATTTCGCCCAGTGTCAACTTTTGAAAAGAAAGGTGCTAAATTTTCCTCAAGAGGGCACCCTGCTCTAAATCTCTTGCCATCTTTTCTTTGAAAGAAGAAAAGGTGCCCAAGGAAAAACAAATCTATGTGGTATTTCACACTAAAAAATAAAAAGGTTGACCTTTTTGAGCATAGCATTTCAAATATTACAGAATAATTCATCATGACCTTTTAAAAATATTCAATCAGACAATTATTTTGATTCTGAAATTTAGAGGAAAAGGGAAGGAAAAGGAAATTAGAATATGTTGATGGGGTAGCTACTGAGTTATAGACAGTACTTTTCATATTTACATTTTACATTATTCTGGGAATTCTATCTACATGGCACATCTCAGTAATAACTGATTTACTCATTCATTCAACAAACAGTTACTGAGCTTTGTTCTGAAGCAGACAACAGTAAAATGTTTGCACTTGACTTATTACAAAGATCTTCCTGTGCCTCTACTTCCTAATCTGTAAAATAAGAATAATAAGAGTACCTGAGATTATTATGCAAATGAAATGATAAAGATAATATCTGTAAAGTTCTAAGAACAATGCACAAAGCAAATGCTCAGTAAATGTTTGCTACTGATATTATGAACAGTTTTCCAGTGTGGAGCAGGCAACAAAACATAGACGGTAAAGTGAAACCAAGAGTGACCACGATAGAGGGCTGGTAGATCAGGAAATATGACTGTACATGGTATATGTAATTCAGCTAGTGATTAAGGAGAAAACCAAGGTTAGGGAGAAGTAAGAATAAAAATAGTTGGAATGTTATAAATAATGGTATTTCTGATTTTTTGTTTTGTTTCCATTGAGTAGGATGTCTATATTTTACCTACAGATACTGATACTACAGAAACAACAAGGGCATACCCAATAGGAATTTAGCAGGTGTCATGGGAGGGGTCAGCTATATGTTCAGGCCATCTTCTCCTATTTGATAGGACAGAGACACATCAGAAAGCTGGGACTAGAAACAATATAATCCAGTTGGATCAAGGTCAACTTCCTTGGTCTCATGAACAAGTATTTATTAAATGCCCAGTGTATGCAAATTCAATTCTAAGAATGAGCACAGGGGAAGGACAACTCTTAGAGGCAAAATCAGGAGAATATTTCTAGTGTCAGTGGGAAAGGGGAAGATGTTAGTCTGAGATAGCAAGCTGATTTTATAACTCTCTAAAGGTTGTATGATTCTGGGGACCCTGTTACAGGCTACTTTGCTTCCTATAAACCAAATTGTCTAAACATTTCCTCACTATTGCTTGAAATTGGGACTTCTTAGGTTTTCAGGTTTATTCTTATAATGCAAACACTTTGGGGACCATTTGGAAGTTAATCATCGCTTAGGACCACCCAGGGCCTCCTAATCCTGAGTGTAGACTGTTTTATGATCCCCTTTTGTCATTTTTGACTAGGTAGAAAACAGTAAAAGAATAAGGAGATAATAGATCAAAAGAATGTATATTCTTAAGAAGCTGATGGTTAACATAGTAGTGAGAGAGCTGAAGTTACAGGAAAGCCCTGATTTAGTCACTAAAAGGACATTAACTCAGATATAACCAGGTCTGTTATGTCACTGAAATGTGAAAAATTTTCCTC